AATTTATTGTAAATAAATAAGTTAATAAAAAATATTATTTTTGAAATAATTTGAAGATTACTGCACTTAAGATTTGTTGCAATTTTTTTTTATTATATTATATATGTTCTAATCACATTTCACTCTAACCAACAACGCTTGGTGCATTGTAGCAGCTACAACGAAAAATTATATACCAAAAATCGGTATATATGAAAATAAAATAAATTCACTTTGCGAGCTAATGAAATTTCTTTAACAAAATTTTTGTGCTTTGTGGTTCTTATTTTGTTTTTGTTTTGAGTGTCGGGTTTGTAATAAAGAATAATATTTTCGTTCCTAACCTCGCCGCTCAACAAATCCATCTCATGCGATGCGGCATGCTTTGCCGTTTTTATAATGCTGTAGGTCTTGGCGAAGGGCGCCTTAATAAGCTGATTAATGCGTTAGTAAATTTAAGGATTCGTCAAACATTTGTTAATTTGCATTTTTCATTATTTTAATATATATTTTTTTTTGGTTTGTGGTAATGGAGCAGTAAAAATGTTGACGTTTTGGCGGAATAAGAAAACAGAAAAGAAAAAAATTCAAATGAAGGAAATTTCGTTTAAAATTATATGCAAGAAGATAAATGGAAATTTTTGTTTTAAATTTTTTTTTTATTTAAATTTAGTTTAGTTGCTAAATCGTAAAGGAATCGAGTAAATTATTGGCGTATTGTGATTAAACCTAAAAATATGATTATTTAATTGATGCATAGCTGAGAAAATTCGGACTTACAATTTTAAGGAAACTTATAATTTATAAATACTTTATATATTCATAGATATGTAAGTAATATTTGTTATATTAAGTTGCGATGATAATTATAAGAGTTAGTACCGAATAAAAGTAGTAATAGTAGCATATAATAGTAGTAAAAGTGAGAAAACTTAATCACGATAAAAGTTAAACCGCAGCAACCACGGCACACATAAAAAGAACGCTCTTGGCAATTCAAAACTTGTGTACTCACCTCCCACGACTCTCGTGTCAAGTCACTGATCTCCTCGTTCTCTTGGCTGCCGCTACGTCCGCTCTTGCCGGTGCCGCTCTTCGTCCACTCGGTATCATCTTGGATGAGTTCGAAGCCACGCGCTTTGATTTGCTCCTCATTCAATTCACCGTACAGGTGTTGCACCCAGGTGTTTATGAAGCGATACAATTCATCAACGCTGTGAAGTGAGAGAATTAAAAAAAAAAA